GATAAAGGTGGAAAGAGTTCATCTCAGGAAAAGAAGGAATCTTCTGCTGTTGCAAATTTTTTTGGAACCCTTGGGGATTTCTTTAAAACCAATGTGTCTCCAATACAGACAACTGAAGATAGGTCTGGTTCTTTAGTGACTGATAAAGATGAAGGAAGGTCAAGTCCTAACCATTTACATCTAGTGCATCAGGATACAGGAAATTCTCCTCCATTACCAGTTCCCTCAAAAAAGAAGGTTAGAATTAGAAGTCTGACCAAACAGACCACTATTGATGACAGTAGGCTAAGAGAACCATCAATCAAGGAGATGCAGAGTAATGATTTGAATGAAAAAGAGGTACCGGTCAGAGATTACCGGGTGCAGCAATCAGCAAGTCCACCTGTCTCAACAGGTAGTCCCAAAGAGTCTCCCAGAGACTCTTCAAAAGGAGCTGGTGCCATATCTACAGGAACAGAAGTTCCAAGGAATAATAAGTCTTTTGATGCTCTGAGTAGAAGAAATACAAATGAACAAGATAATTTTCCTAACCAAGAATGGGAATGTTCAACTGCTACACCTGCATCCCAACAAGAGTTGCCACCCAGAAGGAATATATTTTCTTTCTTAACTGGATCTGAAAAATCTGAGAACAAAGTCTCTGCAGCCCTCCCAAGGGCCAGATCTCAAGCAGAAGGGCTGTTCACTCTTCCTTCCTTTTTCTCCACAGCTAGCTTAAGCTCCAAGAAGGATGCCTCTCGCAGCAGCTCTGCTTTCAGTTTGTTTAACTTGTCTTTTATGGAGGAGAAGCAGGAGCCCTCTAAGGAGAAGCAAAGCCTCTCAGCTATTGCTCCAGTGACTGCCCAGCCTTGTAGGAAGCCAGTTGTATCTATAGACACAAGAGACACTATGACAAAGGAAGACTCTACCAGTCATAAAGAAAACATAGTCCAGGAAGTAGTTCATGAAGAGCAAATGGCTCTTTGTTTATCCACTAACAGCACCCCTAAGCTTACTACCTCTCTTGGAGACAGGCTCCATGTAGAGATAACCCAGGGAAAAAGGAGTTCCAGTAAAGGAGGAACAGAAGGAGCAACTGCTTTTGATTTTCATGTGAATCAGTTTCCATCCAATGTTGTTCCTCTTTTATCAGAATTTCAGGAACAAGCCCTGGGGGTAGCTCCTCAGGAAGAAGAGCCTTTCCACCAGGAAACCTTCACCAGGAACTCAGCAGCTGAGTCTTTTTCTCATGACAGTGGTTTGAATGAGAAGCTCAATGATTTAGATGTTTGTACTGAACACCAAAATGAAAGATTTACCACTGACTTATTGAACTTGCCTTTGGAAAATGACTCTGACAGTCTCTCAGCAGAGATCCTGGATTTACCTTCTGCTTCTCTAGACCCAGGGCATGCAGGGCTTCTTCAAGACCAAGATGCAGATAAATTAGAAGACAGATCAATATTAGGCTCCAAAGTAGAAATGATTTCAGGGTTTGTGACCAAAGTAAAATCTTTTTCTGGATCCTTAATTGAACAGCCTAAGACTTTTTCTGGATTTTTTTCTACTCCTAAATCTCCAAAGAAAAATTCCTTTTTTTCTTTTTCCTCTGCCACATCATCTCAGCCCTTCAAAAGTGAGCTGTTTGGAATTTTCAGAAGTTCCAAACCAGAAACAAATAAACAAGAACCATCTATAAGTAATTCATGCTTTCAGAGTGGTTCTTCCAGAGACCCTGTAGGATCAGTTCCTCCAAAAAGCTTGCCTGGAGAATGTCCCTGTGCAGGACTCAATTCAGAGTCTGCTCTCAGTGCCTGTAGCATAACGGTGGTTGGTGTAAAGTCAGAATCAGATCCATTGACAGATGGCCCTAAACTAACACCTGAAATGGAGAAAAATATTCCGGAAAGTGTTTCAGAACCCCCATGTTTTGAAGTACTTCCTACATCTTCTGTCTCAGAGGATGATTTGGGACAAGGAATATTATCTTTGAGTGATGAGGGAGACATGGGGCTATTGCAAGGCACAGACACAGAGGCCTCATTGGAAGCAGAGCACATTCTTCCTCCAACACAGCTACAGTCAGATCCTGAAGAGCTTCCCCCTTCAAGCCAACCACTTCTTGAGCCAGAGCCAGAGCCAGAGCTTCTGACAACCAGCAGAAATCAAGAGTTTTTGGGATTTGCAACCACTTCTCTAGAAACTAGTACTTCACTGATTGATGAGGCAGGGATCAGTGAGAATACCACACTGGAAACACAAGGAGATCATTCTTGTCCTTTGCAAGAGGAACCTGTGCTTTGTCCCAAAGAAAGTTCTAGAATACATCATGCCCCAGAAGATCTACCTGTAGCCCCCCAGGAAACAGCACAAACAAGACCTTGTTTTGAGATCCCAAATATGGCCAGTTGGCCAAAGCTTCCCTTCCCATCCACTCCTGACCATGGGAAGACACTGAGTTCAATCTTTAACCCCTCTTGCTCATCTGGTAATATGCCAGCAGAAACTGGCTTAATGTCAGGTTTTAAGAAGTTATCTACTCTGTTTGAAGGAGCTAGTGAGGGAAAAGGGGGTATCCTAGGAAGTGATCCAAAACTGGTGTTTGGAAAGAAACTGGATCTTTCATTTCCATGGTCAAAAGAGAATAAAGGAGGCCCAGAGCAAATGCCTGCAAAATCATCTCCAGTTTTGGTTGTTAGTGGTGATCAGGACCTTATCATTAACAAGGCTAACAAAGTTTTGGAGTCTTCTCAAGTACCTAGTGGTAGTCCTGAGTCAGCTGACATCTGTACTCTGCCCTCTGGGACCACAGAACAGCCAAGTGACTTTGTTCATGAGCTTTCAAAATCTGGTGAAGTGGAAAGGCAGCTGGAAATGTCAGCATCTGAAGAACACTGGGGTGAAGACAGCAACCTGTCTAGATCTACCTGTTCTTCAGAGAAACACAAGGAAGAGCACTGTGCTCAGCCAGCAAAGCAAGAAGAGATGATGTCTGCTAGCACTGGCTCTGTTTTGAGTGTGGGGCAGCTAGTCATTCCGGAGGATGTCAAGGAACCAGTGATCAACAAAAGGCCGGTTCTTCACTCGGGCATCATAAATGGTTTTAAGGAAATGACCATTTATAATGCAAATGATTAGTAGTAGATTATCATAGCTTGCTTCAGTCCATCCTGTGTCTTTCCTAGCACCTTTATGTTAATTAGGGGCTAAGTGACAAAAAGGAAAGTATGGGTATCTCCACTCTCTCCCTTTTCTATTGTCAAGTAGAATTTATTTAGTGGACAAGGAGCATCTAGCATAAAGGGAAGAATATTTACACAGGCTGGTTTGTTTTGCAGAAGATAGGACAAGAAGAGGCAGCAGGTATTTAAGTGCTATCTATTAATTCTAAGAATATACTCAAATAGGATGCTTTCTTGGGTTTTAGACACTTCTAGTAGATGGGAATAGGTAGTTTCCTGTGGTTCTCTGAGTCTTCTAAGATGTAACCCCAGTGGCTGTGAGGCTGTAAAGTGAAATACAAACGGCAAAGAATGACTTAGGATCATCTGCATTCTACAGCCTATTCCACATGGATTTGTAAAACTTCTAGGGTCTCTGATACAGACTCTCACAATGCTCTGGACTGAACAGCTATAACCAAGGATAAGCTGAGTTGCCATGATACTTTACTCAACGCTGAAGTTCTTTTGCTGCTGTCCTTTCATCTGGACCACCGAACAAGGTCTATTTGTAGAGGTTGCTGTTACTGCCCCTAACCATAACACTCTACAGGAGAGCTTAAGAATGATACTTTGACCTCTGACCCGAACTTAGCTGGGGGAGCATTAGGTCTACTCAGACATTGACCTGATATATCTTCTGCTAATATGTACTGAAGAATCAGAAATCAGCCTGAAAATAGCACATAATTTAATATTATCTCTTTGGATAAGAACAATTCTCTCTCTTAATCTGTCCAAAGACCTTAAGTTAAAGACTAGACCCTGGCAAAAAACAAAACCAACTCTTTTTGCATAAAAACTTTCCGGAAGGATACCTGCTAGTAAGAAAAGGAAAGGAGGATTCATAGCTCATCACCAAGTCCCACCGTGTTCATAAAACTGAACTGCTTTGAAGATGAGCATCAGGATTCCAGGGGAATCTTGATACAATTAGCCGTATACCTTCCCTGCCTCTGTCACAGTTCTCTTGGCTACAACTGCTAGCTCTCACAGCAGGGAACATTTCTTTCTGTCCATGGGAATTCAGGTGACTGAGGGAGGGCTGAATTGGCCTTACATCATATACAGAAATAACTTTAGTATAGTCCTGATGCAGAGAAGTTGGACTTCATTGACTTTATGCGTAATTGAGCCTTGACCTTAGAGAAACTCAGCTACAATGGATGGATATATCCTGGGTATATTTCCCAGGCCACTAAGGGTGTCACTATTGTGTTTGTGTTGCTGAAACCTGTGGAATTCCTCTGCAGAACTTAATCCTGGTCTTCATCTAGTAACTTCCATACTTCTTTCTGTAGACTGAAGGAACATGTCTCTCTGTTTTGCTAAGGCACAGGCACACACATTTGGAACTGTAGAGGAAGTGATAAGGACTTCTCTTTATTAAATAATAGAAGGGATGGGGCTCATTTTCTTCACTTTACTATGTGGAATTTGGAAAAGTTTAATCACAGCCACTGGAAAGTTTCTTTAGAAGACTGAGTAAAGAATTTTGTAAATTCGCAAAAGGCTATTTTACTGTTTCTTCATTCTACTGACAGGTAGCAATTAGATAAAATAGTCAAGTCAGGGCTGAGGTTCAGTGGTGTCAGAGGCTTAGCATGTTGTCTTTTTTTCCTTCTGTGGTTGACTAGACCAAGTTTTCTAGGTTGAAATGTTTGTCCTTGCTTCCTAGGAACCTCCTGTGTGTGATTATCTCCTCCCCATGCAGTTATTAGTTCCTGGGTGTGTCTGTGCTTGTGGTCCTGTCCTTGGTTTGCATTTATTTACTGATCTGTTTTCTTTTCACTCTCACAGCCCTACCAGCAGTAGTAGATATGGCTCCTCCTGTAATGTGAGTCAAGGAAGCTCTCTGCTGAGTGAGTTGGACCAGTATCATGAGCAAGACGATGATGGTCGGGAGAGAGACTCCATTCATTCTAGTCATAGCTATGGCAGCCTCTCCAAAGATGGCCACACTGGTTTGGGAGAACAAGAGAAAGCCTTGGAAGTGACATGTGATTCAGAGGAGAAAACAGGTGAATCCAAGGAGGAGAGAGATGATACCACAATCTGCCCTCCTTCAGATCTGGTGCTACACAAGGGCCACATCGTAGGACCCCAGGAGAGGTAGGTGATGGCTAGCTCACATTCAACCTGTTGTATTATTGAATACAAACATTTTTCACTTATTTTCTTGCAGCTGGGTAAGGGGCAGGTGCAGCAACAGTGGTCAAGTTAGTACATCATCCTTTGATTTTTGGTTTGATTTCCAAGATGTCTAAGGGACTTGTGTTACTGAGGCGTGGGCACACCAGGAGTTTTTAAGCATGCAGTTGTGATTACATAGGTGTCTGAGTCTGAAACTGAGCCTGAGCCCCACAGGTATTTTTCAATAGTTCCCTCTGCTTAGGGATCCTTTAATTTCTTTTGTGAACATTTACATATGGTTTTATTTTACTCTGTCTGAGGGAAATCAGAACAGAATTAGCCAGATTTAATATATGTGCTGTACTGTACATGGCTTGACAGTGTGTTTGGCATTTTTTATCCATAAGAAGAACATTTTATAATGTATCTTCTGGCCAAATGTGGTGTACACCTGTAATTCAATACTCTGGAAGCTGGAGCAGAAGGGTTTAAGACCAACCCGAGCTACACAGTGAGATCTTTTCTAAATATAGCATCAAAAAGAACTAAAAGTGGTTGTGTAATAGAGTTTAGTATAGAATTTGAGTGTTCTTTCTATACCACTGAGCTAACTTGTTTACAATAGCTAAGAGGTTTGGGTATAGTAGCTTTCTCAGCTATTGTTAATATTTCTTAGGACAAATAATCATTATGGAAAACGACCATTCATTTTCAGGCACTTGTTAGATTCTCTGGCCTATACAGTAGATGCTAATAGCCATGACCAGGGTAACAACCAAAACTCCCCAGATATTGTCAGATATTCCTCCAAGTACAAAATCCCACCCTGTGCCCAGTTGAAAACCACTGGAAGTATAAGAGGATGGTTTAGCTTTTGACATCTAGATCTCATTACAAACCTCAGACCAGGACAGTGAGTGCTTGTGGCAGATGAATCATACAGCTTCCTGAAGATTATTGTAAACTTACTTTTTCTCTTCCTTTTATAAGGTATGGTCTTATACTGTAGCCTAGGCTGGCTCCAGACTTGTAACTTAACCTTGATTGCTAAGATTATAGGCTACAATGCCTAGCTTCATTCTTTGTTTTTTAGTCACCTGTTGTAGTTCAGTTAATAGTCAAGAGGCCCAGGAGACTAAGGTCCACACCAAGCCTCTTACTGGGTTGTGGTCCACCAAAGGCTTCTTCTTGATGGATCTTGAACCTGACATTAGTGTCAGAGCTGAGCTTTTGGCAGATTGGTGAAGAATTTCACACAAGTACTTGTTTATCTCCGTTAGGCGAAAAGGTAGCCAAATTTTTGACCAGAATACCTTGACTAAAAGTGCCCACAAATGTTTTGGAACAATTAGATGCCATTGGAGCCTGGCATAATTTTTGCAAGTGCAGGTAGCAGACATTATCTGGTACATTGACTACAAGCTATAAGGAGGAAGGAAAGTATTATCTGGTACTAACCACTATTCCAGCTGAAAATCTAGATGATGACCTACTCTAATATAGAGTTTCTGCCTCTGAGGAGCTTGGTTATATTTACTGTTCATTTCATAGAGGCTGTCCCTGAGGCAGCCTAACATACACAATGATGACAGGAAAGGGCTAGCTCTCCCCTAGTCACCCTTAGATGGAGTGTCAGTATTGGAAAGTCTTCCAAAACAGTAGAGCAGGAAGGGTTTACAGAACATTTTTTTTTTCTTAACAAAGCTATGCAAATCCCAGGGGAGGCTGGTGTTCTCTAGCAGTGAGCAGGAGAGGGGTGCATGCTCACTTCACCCGATCTGTGACTTCTGCACTTGATGTCGACCCAGGCTCTGGCTGCTGCTTCTCCTTTTATCACCTCTCAGTGTCTGAGCTATCTCATGTGGGTACATGAGAAAGGAGAAGGAAGGGGGAGTGGAAAGATGAAAGGAGTTGTTATTTTAGACAGGAATTGTTTTCAAAATAATTGTTCAGAACTCCGCTGTTTTGTGGCCTGAATCCCTAGCCAAGTGTAGGCATGAGCACAGACTGTTTTATTTTATTCATGGCAGTCCTGCCTGGGCATTATCACTTTGTTGTCTCTGCTGTTTACAAGAAATGTTCTTCTCTGTTTCAAGTCTTCCCGAGGAGAATGCATCGTCACCATTTACCCAGGCTAGAGCTCACTGGTTCCGAGCAGTTACCAAGGTCCGACTCCAGCTGCAGGAGGTAGGAAATTTGTTCCAATAATGATTGGTACTGTTTTTTCTTTGAAAAGTTTGAGAGACATATGGTGCCAAAGAAGCTGTCAGTAATTAGTCATCTTCTTACAGTGCACTTCTGAGAACGCATGGCAATTAAGCAAGGGCCTTAAGAGATGGGAAGTGGCCTTAACTGTTTAATGAAAATCAAATAGTCCTAGTAGGTGGGAACTTGAAGGTAGGGTTAAATGCTTATTTTATTTTCTACCAGTTTCTTTGCTGCAGTGTTAAGGTAGGGAACAAGGCCTCTTAGGTAATTTGTTGTATTTTTTATTGACCAGTTCAAGTACTTATTTTACACAGGGCTGGAAATAAGATACAGACATCTTTATGGGAAAATTTGGCCCCTAATTTAAGGTCCCAAACATTGTCACATTAAGATTTGCAATGAGAGTACCAGAGAGATGGCTCAGTGGGTAAAGGTACTTTCTGTGCAAACATGAAGATCTGGGTTTGGTTCTCAGCACCCATGTAAAAAACTGGGTGTGGCTTCAGGCCCCTGGAGCCCCAACACTGTGAAGGGAAGTAGAGACATGGGGGCTTGCTGGTCACCAAACCATATTCAGACCCCTTGAAAAACCCTGTCTTAGAACTAGGCAGAGTGATAGAGCAGGATGCCTGACTTTCTTTGGCTTTCATGCACTTGCACACATATGACACACACAGAAACACCCATGGGGGTAGTGAGGTGACAAGGGAGATGGAGAGAGGGAGGGAAGATGTAAGAATAGATGATGTAGTTCCACAAGCAACTTGGGAGGGACAGGTTTATTTACCTTACAGCTTACAGTATTTCATAAAGACATGGTAGGAACCCAAGGCAGGATCCAAAGCAGAAGTTATGGAGGAATGCTGCTGACTGGCCTGCTCCCCATGCCTTGTTCATTCAGTACCTTTCTCATGTAGCCCGGGACCACCAGCCTATTGCTCCTACTGAGCTGGGCCTTCCAATGACTATCATTAACCAAGAAAACACCCTGCAGACAATGAGATAGAGGCATTTCCCCAGTTGAGGTGTCTCCTCCGAGCTAAATTTGTTTTCATTAAATTGACATAAAACTCACCAGGACAAAAATAATTTACTTTCCCTTTTAGTGTTAAAAGTTTCCTCTTAGCAAAACATGTCCTTATCTGTGCATCAGAAGTCAGGCAGTCTTTAGGCAGAAGAGTTTTTTTTAAATGATGACAGTAGCAGTCACTAGTGTAAAACTTGGCAGATATTAAAAACTCAAGCATGCTCACATGTGTACACACACTTTAAAGACTAGTTTGGAACTCAAGGAAAGTTTCCGTACAGTCCTATAACTCTGTACCCTTTGTCAGCTGCTGCCTCTGCCCCCTTCACAGCTGCCTCGTTGTCTCCCTCTATTGAGACCACTCTCTCGGAATCAGTTGAGTTGTAGACAGGAGAGGTTGCCACTCCTAAATATCAGTATCCTCCCCTAAAAATAAGGCCACTCCTCTAAATAATCATAACCACACTATTAAGAAAACACCAGTAATAGCTCTAGCATCAGGATGCCATGCAAATTTGCCAGCTGTTCCCCATAAGATCTCTCTCTTTTCTGATCCAGAATCTAATGGCTGTCTTAATTGGTGTCTCTTCTGTCTCCTTCAGCCTGGAGCATTTCTCAGTCTTTGTTGTCCTCACAGTTTTAAATGATGAAATCTTTCCTTTTGTAGCATGGACCTACTCTTTGTCTTCATGTTAGGCTCAGGCCACACTTCCTTGATCGGAATTACAAAAGAAGTACCTACCATGAACCTGTCCTGCCATAGTTAACATTGGCCTTTGTAGTTGGTTAAGTTGTGTCAGTCAGGTCCCTGCACTGTCAGCCCTTCCCCTTTGTAGTGAGAGCCCCTGAGGCTGTTGATACGTGTTACTCCTCAGATCTGTACTTGCTAGTGTAGTGGTCATGGTCTGGAGCTACCACTAGTGGTTGCAGATGCTAACTTTGTTCCCACCATCCTTTCCACAGTGCAGTGTGTGTTCTAGTATAAGAAAAGTTTCCTTTTCACCTATTAATGTAATCCAGTAAGACTCATAGGCTCTTTAGTGCGCCAGTTTTAATATATTATTATCATTTATTTCGATAAATTACTCTGATTAACCTTCACACACACACAGCTTTGTGTATTGTCTTTAAGTCAGTGTCTCACTATTGTAGCCTTTGCTAGCTTGGAGTTTCCTATGTACTCTAGGCTAGTCTCAAACTTTCAATCTTCCTGTTTAAACCTCTGGAAAATACTGGGATTATGTAATGTGCTATTACAGCCAGCCTGCAGAACATAAATTTAAATGTTTAAAAATTTAATTTGATGATTTTGGTTCCTGGAATCAAGTTCTTATTCCAGGGGCCAGGCTTGCCACAGACTTAGCCTCTTCCTCCGTCACCCTTCTGTGTGTTGGGATTGTAAGTCTGTATTTAAAAATATGTTTTAAAAATGTTTTCTAAATCTTTAATATTAAAAATATTCTTAGATGTCAGTTGCTAATTTGTTATGCTTTTCACATTTTCATTTACATGTCGTAACATGTTAATGTAATTGTATGTATATATACTCTGAAGTGAATAATGTGTCTAGGCAGTCAAACACTGGGAGTCTGTTGATCTGGACTGTCTGACAGGAGGAAAGCAAACATTTGAACTGACATATGTAGAGTAACGTCATAGTGCTAACTTTTTATTTGAGTGGTTTTAAAGTAAAAGTCTTGAAATTTTTATGAAAAACAGAAAAACCAAAAAGAAAAAACAAAAAAAAAAGAAATTTTTATAAAATACAGTCATCTCCCTGTGAAAGGAAACCCAAAATGAGAATCAGAAGAATGTGTTGGTCAGAGTACAATTGGTTATCACTTTAAAGAGATTATTGATAAAAATATATCCCCCAATAAAACCAATTAAAAATCATCCAGAAAGTGAAACTGGCAATTGTCTGGAGAAAGTGTATGGTTTATCCTGAATTAAGGGCAATCACCATTTAATTGAACAGGAAAACCATAGTCTGGATGTCCTTAACACAGAGAGACAACTGGCCAAAGGAGAAAGATGAACCAGAGCTTAAAAGGTGTCTGTTTATGCTTAGGATGAGCTTTGTTGACAGAGCAGCTGAGATTGTAAAACAAAATAAATGCAACACCAAGAATTTTTTCCCCTAAATTATCAAAGTTCAGCCTATGTCGCCCCTTTACCCTCTGTTGAAGACACTTTAAGTTTTGCTAGTTTGTTATTTATCGTTGGTATCTCTTTATGCAGCATAAAATCAAATATAGATCCACATTCAACTTTCCCTTTCATATGAAAGGTGGAATAGTGTTTGTCACTCTACATGCAATGTGAACCCTGTGTGTGGGATGGAATAAAATGCACTAAAGTCTGATGCATTGCCAGCTTCATTCAGAGTGTCAGGCAATTTGTACTCTGAGGGTTAAAAAGAATCCCATGAGTAAAGTTCTCATGAGTTCAACTATATACAATTACAAGGACAAGCTACACACCATGTTTTTCGTAGAGGTTTGTGAATAACAATAGCTGAAAGTAAACATACTCCTTCCCTCCCTACCTGGCAGGATCACAAAAGCACACTTCAAGAACAGTTCCATGTTTTTGAAGAAACTGAGGTCACAAGACTTGTCTTGTTTTCTTGGACTTCTCTTACAAGCACTCAAATTTCCCCTTGCACGACTCCATTCTTAGACTGTGTTCCAAAAGAATAGTATACACACAAGACCACCCTTTTGCTCTACTTGAAGATCCTTTTATTTCTTAGCTCTAAGAGATTTTTTTCCTTTGTTACAAATGTATGATATTCCACTGGGTGACTGTACTGCACAGGTTATTGCTCTTGCTGTTCCCTTTGAGTAAGAAGCCGTGCTAGAAATGAGAAACCTTTTATGTTGGTCATTTCATATGCATGTGTGCACATCTGTAATTTCAATATACATTACCACATTGCTACTCTTCAGTGACTTACATGAATGACAAAGGTCTGCTTTAAGTTGTCTTCTGTAATTTGGGCTGATGGAGCAGCCAGCAGTGGGAACATAACCAGCCACATGGTAAAGGGAAAGCAAAGATGAGGATTAAATGAGCCCATAGCAAATGACCATCCAAGTCTGCCTCCACTCACACATGCCACTCACTCTCACATTTGCCATCCTAGAAGCCCTCAGCCATCCCCTGTGACTCAGGGAGCAGTATGAGGACATTTGTAAGTGGCTTTGATGACCACCCAAAAGGATCTGTGCCTTTCATAGAGCACACTGACAACTTAGTCCCCCACTAATGGCAAAAGGTCCTTTTCTTTCCTAACCTACCAATATGGTGGTTTGTCAAAGTTTTGGTATTTTGATATTCTTTTAGATGGTAGTATCTTAGTAATTTAAATTTATATTTTTTTCTAGTAAAATTGGACATTTTTCTTAAATAGGAAGGCTAATTAGAAATTATTTTGTGTGACTAATTTCTGTTGAGTATTTTTTCTTATTAACTGCATTTTTATGTTTTAGGGAAATTAACTCTTTGTTACTTGAGTTGCCAGTCTTTTCTCAGTATATCATTGTGAGGAAATACAAATATTTTAAGGAACTTTGTTTTTCTAATCCAGAAAATAGAACGATAGTATATTTCTCTTAGCATTGTGAATTATCCAGGAAAGCCATGACTTTAGAAAGGAGTATCAGGAAAGAAAATAAATACATACTTCAATGGCTCATGTTGTCTCCATGATGCAATAAATTCCTTCTGGTCCAGCTCTACACAGTTTGAAGTGTGAGTCATGGACCAACATGGCCTGGGAACTGTTTGTTTCTAGTCTTTGATGAAATAAGTACTAAAATTGAAAGCAAGCCTTCAGAGGTGGTTTGAATTGCCACGACATCGGGCACATTGAGGCTCTGTCTCATTGAACAGGGTGTAAACCAAAACTACCAGACCATGACACTGGGGATAAAAAACCCACTCCTTAACAAAAAGAAGTTTGGGAAGCACTAGTTGAAACTTGTAAAGCATGAAATAATTTATTTCCTCAAAATTCTCTGAGACTTTACTATTTCTTGTGCCTGGAATTTTCTCTTAATTCCTCTAGCTAGCTTTTCATCTGTGAGTTTTAAGATGCAGCCAGATGTGAGGTGCCTTGAGAAAGTCTCCAGACTGTGTGTGAGAACCTGTTTAGAATTGGCACTCACCGTGAGATTATGGTGTTATTATTTGCTGTTATACTTTACTTAAAAAAAGAAAAAAAAACCCTTGGGTCAGTTCCTGGACCATCAGGGCCGTTATATTATGTGTGATGTTGCCTTCTATAGAATGTCTAGCAAATCATTTTTGGTTATTTCACTAGCTAGAAATGCCCGTTGTTTCTGCAAATGCCTTCACATATGAATCACATTTCTGTTGTGATAAGATACTGTAGCCAAAGGCAATTTAAAGAAGAGTTTATTTTGCCTATGGTTTGGTGCTAAAAGGCTAGATAGCTGTTGAGGAAGGCATAGTTGCGGAAGTAGGAAGCTACTTCCTACTTTTTGTTGCTACTGTTTTTTGTTTTGTTGTGTCTTTTAAGACAAGGTTTCTCTGTGTAGCCTTGGCTGTCCTGGATCTCATTCTGTAGATCAGGCTGGTCTTCACTCAGAGATCTGCCTGCTTCTGCTTCTGGAGTGCTGGGATTAAAGGCAAGCACTAATACCACCCTGCCCTGATCTTTTTGGGGGCTGGGAAGGATAAAAATCTATTTTCATTTCTGTTTATTTTAAAAACTTATCTTAAAATATTCAAATACAATGACTGAACTAGGAATATTTATGTATTGAAGAATTTGTGCTTTGAGAGTCTGAATGTGCTGGACTGACTTTTAATGTTAACATTTTTGCGAGTTGACCAAAGAATGGTATCTGACTTTTAAAATTTACATTTTTCTGTTGTTTGTGATCTGAGTTTTCCTCATATGTTTAGAGTAATTAATACTGAGCTGTTATGGCATTAAACAAATTTTGGAG